TTAATGTAGACTAGACACTAGTTTAAAATGCAAACACCCAGTATCAGAATCAGAATCAGAATCAGAAACAGAATGAGTTTTATTGCCAGGTATGTTTACACATACGAGGAATTTGTTTTCATGACAGAAGCTCCACAGAATGACAGACACGAGCGTGCCGACTCGCTTCCCCCGTCTGCGCGTCCTGAAGCGTTTGATCAGCGCAGCAGCTCCCCCGACAACAATGTCCAGCAAAACATCCGAATAGTCGAAAACCGGTGAAATATCGGGTGGTGTGTACTTCCGAATGTTCAGCAATTCGTCTCTGGTGAAACTGATTGCAGGGATATAACTAAAGACAGGACAAACTAACAAAAACATAAAAACAACTGCAGAGCACGCCACGGAGGCAGCCATCAGCGTCGGCGCCATTGTGCATCATGCTAAACATAAAATATTCAAAACGTATTATTATTATGTACTTTTTTTCCCACAGAAGTGACATTAAAGAATGACAAATACACAAAAATATTTCAGAAAAAAAAACAGGAAAAGAAAAAGTACCTCTAACCCCATGTCAGAGGTGTGGAGCTTCATTTTCACTTGCTGGCTTTTTTTTTCTCCTCAAATCAATCAACACAAACTGTGCTTTGTAGAAACACACAGAAGTTTGATAAAGGTGTTTTTGTAGCTTTGTAGAAACACACAGAAGTTATTCTGACAACATAACTAACACTCTGAATTATAAACTACTGTATAAAACAGTTTGTCTACTGTTGTTTGTCTACTGTATAAAACAGTTTGTCTACTACAATGGACATCATATAAGTTCAAATTAAATTAGGGATGCATCGATCAGTGACTCAGTGTTGCTTCAAGCGCACCATTCTGCGCACGGGATGCGCATAAGCGCCATGTTTGTGCTGCTCTGTATTGGAGCTTTTCATATTATAATACTTTTGCGCAATGAAAGCTTATTTATAGTGTTTCTTGTTCTGTCCTATGATAGGACAGAACAAGAAAGGCTATTAATAATCTAATGTATAGCACAGTAATGGAGGCAGCAACATATGATAGATCGGACTCCTATCTATCATATGTTGCTGCCTTCATTACTGTGCTATACATTTAAAAGAAATGTCTTTTAATTTTATAGTGTATATTTATATATAAATACATTTATTTGTTTTCATTAATGTATTTTACAACAATACAAAGAGCAATGTGCAACATTTGACCAGATTTAGTCTTACACTCACTTTTATTTGTTCCCCACTAAATATGTTATTTCACTAAATGTTTAGATTTTATAAAATTGTGCACTCATAATTTTTCTAGAATACCTTTTGCTGCTAAATTATCCACTAACCTAGTTTATAATAGTATTTTTGTCATAGATCATGATTATTTATTCCATGGTCTGTCTGAATACTGGATTCTGATTGGCTGGCAGGCATGCAGTAAAACCGTTTAATGCACAGGTAGTTCCAAGTCAGTTTAATCACCGTTCTATATTAATGCGCTGCTTTAATTGATGCTCATAAACCCACACACATCACTTGCACACAAACACACACACACACACACACACACACACAGGGAGCGCGAGAGAGAGAGAGGTTGGAGATTGCACTGCGCACACGCATAAACTTGTTGTCAATGCTTCCCAGCGGTTTTCATTAATAAAATAGCCTAGATACTAGATCGCTACATTATATTCCTCAGCAACGAGGTGTAAAATTTATGTTTTTGAAGTAATTCATTGTAGAGAGAGACGTGCAGACAGTAGCATGCAGGTAACAACTGTCATCTCTCTCTTTCTCTCTCGATCGATAATTAATTGAAATAAATGCTATAATTCATTCAAATAAATGTGATCTTATTTCATCTCTGTGTCTGATTTGAAGCGGGCAGAATGCTAGAGGTAACTTGCTGTAACTGACGAAAATAACTGTCATTTTTACCCATTCGGTCAATTACTCATTCGGCAATACTAGTTTTAACTTGTCTATAACTTGGCAAATGACCATGGAATAAGTGGGATAATCAACGGCTTGCCATGCATTAAAGGATTTTAAATGCACTTCGTAGAGGCAACCACCCTCCGCTTGATTATTAAAACCGTTGATTATCCCTTACATATTTTTTCATTTGTTATTTTTCATTTAAATGAAGTATTCTATATTTAGTAGAATGTGTTTTACACACAAAAGAGTGATGATCAGGTCAACACACAGAAGTATAGAAATTCTACACTGATTTAAAAAAACTGTGCTGGTATCGGATCGGAATCGGCCGATACTCAGAATTTTCTGGATCGGATCGGATCTGAAAAAATGGTATCGTTGCATCCCTAAATTAAATAAGTTAGAAATTGCCCTGCATTCGATCTAGCTATGTTTGACCATGTCCTGAAGGGCACTTAGAGCTCATGCTGTCTGAGAGATGAGGGGAAGTGCAGCTCCCAAAAATATACAGATTCTCTGAATATGGTAAGAGAATACAGATTGTAAAAGCAGGGCCGCATTAAGACCTCACTGGGCCAAGGGCTATGACTTATTGCCGGGCCCCCCATCACAATAATGATATATATAGCTTAAAATAGGATTTTTATGCAATAATTTTTTTTGATGCATTGCAATTTCACAATTCTTGTTACCAATTCCAATATCACAAAATAAAAAATACTAGCCTAAGTAAAAACAAACTTACTGAAGACAAGTAATCAGTCATGCATTACAATAGAACAAAGAAATTGACCTGCAAACACTTAAAGCACGGAATAAGAAATATTATATTGTATAAAATAAATAGACTACAAATAGACTGAATAGTCTTCACTGCATAAATTCAATATACATTATTTTACAAAAGCGATTCGGTCAAGGACAGCGAGTGATTTTCTTTCTAATGTTTAATTTACACTATTGACACAAATAGCAACAGCAGCTATATTAGGCTGCTTAGGAGGAATAGTTCATCCAAAAATTAAAGTTATGTTGTTGTTGTTCTAAACCTGAATGAGTTTCCTTCTGCAGTTGAATGCAAATGTATATATTTGGAACAATAGCCTACTGGTAAACAAACAGTTTCTGTGCCCCCACAGAATTCTCTATGGGGTTCAGGTCTGGTGAGTTTGCTGGCCAGTCAAGCACACCAACACCATGGTCATTTAACCAACTTTTGGTGCTTTTGGCAGTGTGGGCAGGTGCCAAATCCTGCTGGAAAACGAAAAATAACTCTAAATTTAGGCTGGCGCTGTACGAAGAAAAACTATCAGAAACTGTCTTAATGCGCGCGTTTGACAAAATGAATTCTGCCCCACTGCTTAATGTCCATGAACAGTTAAATTAGTTTTTAAACCAAAATGCTTAAAATACGTTTAAATGAAAAGCTTACATCATGACGCGCAAAATGAATTTCTCAACCCATAAGCGAATATGTGTAAATGCAGACATTAGGCGCAGCGATCACCTGATAGATAGGCTACGTGCAGTTTGTTAAAAAGTAAAACATATAGGCTAATAAATGCATTTGATTGGTAAACCAAATTCAAATGTGACATTTTAATCTCTAATGGTAATGCATGGAATAAATAATGGCGCAAAAAAATTGAGGCGTGGTGGTGCTTTGGGGATCGGCACTACCGATGTCTGTCAATCTACTCCTCAGCCAATCACAGGCCCCCTCCTTGCTCGGGCCCCGGGGCTTCAGCCCCGGCTAGCCCAATGGTTAATGCGGCCCTGTGTGCAAGCACCATATGGTCCCTGTTTTCGACCGTAGGTGCCATCTCCAGTTGCTTCACCTTAAAACCTTTGAGAGAGGAAAATGGAGCTGCGGCTCTATTCAGTGTGGCGGTAATCCATAGATTAGCCTGGAAAATTCCACACCGCTGCCACACAATGGTTCATCTCACTGTCACTCAACAGGCCCGACCAGTTATAGAAGGAAGCCGGGCGCAGTGAGGCTGGCCAGAGTGGGCATGTTTAATGTCATTCCATTCACTGTAGTCACTATAGCAACTGGCCATGGGTGTGTTACATCTGCATGTTAGAGGGAACGAAAGCTGTTTAGGCATAAAGATATTAAGATTGTTTAATATGAGCCATCCATCTCAGCTGCAAAGCTTTCTGTGCATCTGCTGTAACTGTAACCATGGCTATGTATGGTGTCATGAGGGTGCAGGACTGGGACTGCCTTGGTTTCAAATGAACTCGAATATCATTCAACAAAAAAAACTCTCTGAAAATAATAATGTGGAGAAGGGGTGACCACGGTATAAGTAATTTTATTTCACGATAAGGATATATATATATCATGATGCAGTTATTCTTTCTATAAATAAGGTCTTTATATCAATAGTTTATATCATAATTTTTGATACCATAGAAATTTCATAATTCTTGTCACCAGTGTCAATCACAGAAAACTAATATTAGCCTAAATAAAAAAAAATTAAAAACCAAGCTCACTGAAAACAAGTAAACAGTCAGCGATTAAGAATAAGAAACTAATTACAAGCAATAGGACAAAAAAACTACAGTAGAACAAAGAAATGCTACATACATTTTATAAAGTTTATATGTAAAAATAGAAATGGATATTTCTTATTAAAATTACAAAATTGATTTAGTCAAGAGCGGTGAGAGATTTTCTTTCTTTTGTTGTTTGATTAACATGAATGACAGACAGCTGTAATATTAGGCTTTTGTCACTTTAAGAGCTGCCCGGATCCAATATATTGTTACACATTTCTTTCTCAGCTTTCACTGAAGACCTAAATAACTGTGTTTATGAGAATACTTACAAAGACGGCCATTTTGACACATACAAGTGTGCGTATTTAACTGTTCAAGGCCTATAAAGCATGTCTGCCGATATATCGCCCATCCCAAATGTCGAGTTTTTTTATTAGTCATTTTATTGTTGTACTGCGCTTTTCTAATATGTGTTGGAGGTTGTGGCTATTGTTAACAGAATAATTTCTTCACAGGATGGTTTGGGGTCAACCGAGGACTCACCGGTCTATGCTAGAGGTCATTTTTGTAGTGTGTTCAGGGTCGCAGTTGTAGAGAGAGGATCTTTAAGCGTGAGGTAGACATTTGTAACCTGGGTAAAAAAAAAAAAAATTATTTAATGCAATTTAAATTAGGCACACTCTAAATTAATAAATAAATAAATGTGGGTTTTAGTGTATAAAAGTGTCTTCTAAATTATTAAATTAAAATGAAGCAATGACACAAGAGGAATAAATGCAACAATTCAATAATTCATTCAAAAGCAAACTTACCTTCAGGCCTGCTTGCTCTAAGGAAGGAAGAGAGAAGCTTGCCACAGGATGTAGGATGAGGACAATCGGTGGGCAAGACAGAAGGTGCGTGTGAATATGAATGTTTTTGTGTGCAGGGTCAATCAGAGGACTCTTGAGGTCAAGGTAGAAAAGCCTGCTGTGGGTCTCTGTGGGGTGTATGTGCTTTCAATCGTGTGTGAGACTGGAGGCACCACATGTTAGCACCAGCCACCTCCTAAGAAAAAACAACAACAACAAAAAACGGAAAACCTTGCATCATAATTACACATTTTTTAAGTAATAAAAGTCATATGTTTAATATATACTCAAATCATTTTAACTTAATGCCTGACCTATAAAACAATAGTCAGAAATTGAATAGTTTATTGAACCTTTCAAGAAAAATATTGCATATGTTTTTTGTGACCCATTTAGTATGATATAGGACAATATGGAGCTCATACTTGAGAATGAAATAACACCTCAATTTTATTAAGAAGCCAAAACTGTGCAAAAATATGCAATTATTTTGGGCAGATGCTGATATATACAAGTTGAAATTCGAATTTCTGAATGAGATTTTTTGTTGTATAGCAGACTACATACATAACATGCTTATAAATATCAGTTATGACACTTAAATGCTCAAAGCTCTGTAATTTTAATTGTGGGAGCAAACCATATAATGCAAGGCAATGCAATGATTGAAAGATATAGAATTAAACTTTCCTCAAAAGCCTGTTTATCATATTTGATTCTCAAATTGTAAGATAAAAAAATGAATACACTGTATGGAATCAAAGTTACTTTACTAACAATATAAAAGTTATTCTTACATTAAATATTTAACAGCAGAACAACATTTGTAGAAAATATACTTTAAGGCCTTTTTTTTGCTAAAAAGTATAGACTGTCAATCAGACGACAGAAGGCATGCAGTAGATGTTGATAATATAGAGAAATTTCTCATATCAAATATTATACAATCTTTATAGGGCTAAGAAGAAATGTTGTAATACAAAAAAAAAACTAAATTAACATAAATCTTTCCCTTGTAAATAAATGAGTAAGTATAGATGGCAAAAAAATAAATGCTGTAGTCATTTTTAAGACAACTGAATTGTAACATATAAAATATTAATACTTGATTAATTAAATAACTAATTCTGTAAGTAATAAACTTACTCATGTCATTATTTCTGTAATAGCAGCAATGCTCCTTAACCACTGTAAATCTGCGCTTAAATCTGAAACACAAACGGAAACAGAAATTAGTCACAAACAGCTGGCTCTGGAGAAAATGCTTCAATTACATTAGAGAAATAGTAATACATTAACTTGGAGGATTACTAAGTTTTTACTAAGAAGAAGAATCAAAGAAGATTATAAAAAAATAAAAACATCTGAATTAATAATAGTAGGTGTTCAGGTTTCAAGAAAAAAAAACATCACTTTGACCCAGTAAGCCTGAGAAGGGTCATGACCTTAAAGTTAAAGACCCCAAAGTCATCATGGTAAACATTCTGCAAAAAAAAAAAAAAACTGTGCCATACCCAAAATAATGGCTTCATTGAAGCTTAACATTTTCCCCTAGAACTAACAGTTCTGTCCATCCCAAAATAAACTATTCAGCCTACTACTAGATATTTTACAAGGCCACAGATGTTGTGATGTACTGCCAAGCCTGATAGCCGACTTGGCAAGACCTTCTCCAAAGATAAACATTCAGTAATGTAAAACCAGGGCCGAAGTTCAGCTGTCATAAGAACAGAACTTATGAGAATATACAGAATTCACTGCACCTTCATTACTAGTTAACTGCAGTTTGATGTTCACGATACTGATCACAGTCTTACATAATTGACATTAACATACCGGGTGTCGTTTTCGTTAATTTTTTTTCTTAAAATGCAAATGTATTAAAATATCTACTGTAGATATAAAGTCATAGCAATGAGAATAAAGTCGAAATTACGAGAATTAAGTAGAAATATTTTCAGAATAAAGTGGAAATTACGAGAATAAAGTCATAGCAATCTGAGAATAAAGTCTAAATATTTTGAGAATTAAGTCAAAATTATGAGAATAATGTCAAAATATTTTGAGAATAAAGTCTCAATTACGAGAATAGTCTAAATTGCAATAATAAAGTAAAAATTGAGAATAAAGTTGATATTACAATAATAAAGTCGTAGCGATATTTTGAAAATATTTTAGAATATTTTCAAAATATTTTGAGAATAAAGTCCAAATATTGACTTTATTATCATAATTTTGACTTTTTTCTCAAAATATTTTGACTTTAATCTCATAATTTTTTTTTTTTTTTTACGTGACACTAAAACGGCGTCATAGTTTGTATATAAACCTCATCACATTTATAAAGCTGGAATAACAACAAAGAAACCTCTGGAAGGAAGTTTATTTAGGTGATTAGCTCAGTTAAATTAGCTGCTAACGTAGCCACATTCCTTTAGCTGAAAAGCAACACAACCTCAAAACAGTAAACAAGACGATGGTTGTAATGCACTATGGTCCATGGTGCCCGGATGTGTGGTGACCAGAGGAAAACAAGTGTGCTAACGATGGTTAAAGCTGGTGATGATGGAAATCTCTCTTTCATGTTTTTACTATGAGAGTCTTGTCACATGCAGGTCTGGACCTCCGGTCACGCCACGCTGCACACCAGCTATGTCCCCCGAATGATCACTACATGTGACTACTGACCCAGACAACACACGCAAAGAAAATAAACGACATTCCGACACAGCTCAGACTCAATTCAGCCACTCCTGCAACACAAACAAGCAACCAGACCAGGCGCAATAAACTTAAGACAAAAGCACACCCCTTGTTTCTATTTGACTTCGGATTGGAACTAAATACACCACCATTCAAAAGTGTGGGGTCATTTTTTTTTGTTTTTTGAAAGAAATTCATACTTTTATTCTGCGAAGAGTAATTAAATTGATTAAATTTAAGTTCTTTCTAATTAAAGAATCCTGGAAAAAATATCACAGTTTACACAAAAAATATTAAGCAGCACAATTGTTTTCAGAAATGTTTCTTGAGCAGAACATCAGCATTAGAGTGAATTCTGAAAGATCATGTGACACTGGAGTAATAATGCTGAAAATTCAGCTGTCATCACATGAATAAATTACACTTTAAAATATATTAAAATAGAAATCAGTTATTTTAAATTGTATTTATTTTTACAGTTAAAACAGTTACATTTGTGACCCTGGACCACAAAACCAGTCTTAAGTCGCTGGGGTATATTTGTAACAATAGCCAAAAATACATTGTATGGGTCAAAATTATAGATTGTTCTTTTATGCCAAAAATCATTAGGATATTAAGTAAAGATCATGTTCCATGAAGATATTTTGTAAATTTCCTACTGTAAATATATTAAACTTAATTTTTGATTAGTAATATGTATAGCTAAGAACTTCATTTGGACAACTTTAAAGGCAATTTTCCTCAATGTTTTGATTTTTTTGCACCATCAGATTCCAGATTTTCCAGCCAAATATTGTCCTATCCTAACAAACCATACATCAATGGAATGCTTATTTAGTCAGCTTTCAGATGACGTATAAATCTCAATTTCGAAAAATGGACCCTTATGGCTGGTTTTGTGGTCCAGGGTCACATATAAGACAATAAAGTGCACAATTAGAATATATGCCGTCCCAGTGACAGCTTTTGTACCTTTTTTCCTGAGTACACTATACTGCAGAAAATTTCGAAAAATGGACCCTTATGGCTGGTTTTGTGGTCCAGGGTCACATTTCACAATATTACTGTTTTAACTGTATTTTTTGATCAAATAAATGCAGTCTTGAGCATAAGAGATTTCTTTCAAAAACCTTTGACATGTAGTGTAAAGGATGCCAACAAAACACAAAATAAATCTAGATATTTGTAGTACAAATATGACTGTTATAATAAAAATAATAATTCATTACATTTATATAGTGCTTTTCTAGGCACTCAAAGCGCTTTACATTGTCAGGGGGTATCTCCTCATCCACCACCAGTGTGGAGCATCCACCTGGATGATGCGACGGAAGCCATAGTGCGCCAGAACGCCCACCACACACCAGCTTTTTGGTGGAGAGGAGACAGAGTGATGAAGCTAATCAGTAGATATGGTCACACCTCTACTCTGGGATTTTTAATGACAGAGAGTCAGGACCTCGGTTTAACGTCTCATCCGAAGGACGGTGCTTGTTGACAGTATAGTGTCCCCGTCACTACACTGGGGCGTCAGGACCCACACAGACCACAGGGTGAGCACCCCCTGCTGGCCTCACTAACACCTCTTCCAGCAGCAACCTAGTTTTCCCAGGAGGTCTCCCATCCAGGTACTGACCAGGCTCAGCCCTGCTTAGCTTCAGTGGGCATCCAGTCTTGGGCTACAGGGCGATATGGCTGCTGGTTATGCATTTGGTTATGCTACCAAAAGCATAAAATACCAACTGTAGAACATCAAAAGGAATTTAAAGGAAATCCGTCAGGATTTTAAAACACAGCTCCTCCTGCAATTTCCTTTGACTGTCCGGAAGCAAAACATTATTCCAACACAATACACATCTGATAAAAACCACACAATAAACAATAAGATTTTTAAAAATAAATAAATTATTACAAATAAATAAAAACACACATAATAATAATAATAAATCCTAGAATTTTTATAAATTTGGAACAAATACAAAAGGATTTAAATGGGAATTGTGTTACGGGATAAAAACATAAATCACATTTTCTAGCACATCCTCCCAAAATATTATCATTAGAGTATTATGAGCAGCAATATAATATCCTTGTAGAATAACAAAAGGAATGTAAAGGAAATATGCCAGGAAATTTCTTTCAACTGTCCTGGGTAGGATTTGTACACAATATCTTTGTAGACTCTAAGAATAAAAAAAGAATCCTTTGGGAGTTTCAGTTCATCCAGGAGGATCATTTTGGATTTCAATGGGATCATTAAAGATCACAAATTCAGATAGAAATACTCAAAATAGGATTCAGGAATGTTTGACAAGGGACACAAAACAATCCTTACGGATTTCATTGAAATTCCTTTTGATGTTCTTTCTTTTACTCACTGAAGATATTTGGCATTCAGATGCTTCCCAGATATGAGTCACAAATGTTACCGGAGTATCAGTTCAACAAGAAAAAAGAATCGCTTCACTACAGGGAAATGTAGAGAAGAGAAATCCTCTGACACAGTGCCACAAATATAACCCAAACACATAAAATACATCAGTTGTACATACAACACTAGGAATCCAAAGGATTTATTTGAATTAGGAGGCAACATAAAAAGACTTCGAAATAGAAGCTGGGGGATTCTGGGAAAAACACATGAGAAGGGCACATGTGAAGAGAGAGAGGCGACGGAGGAGTGGAAAAGGATGTAGGACAGAGTGGAATATTTTCAGTTCACCGAGACATGGAGTCAATTTCGCAAAAGATTTGACAAAAAGCAAGGCATGCTAAACCGTGAAGGAGGGTTTGACAGAGAAAAAAGGATAAGGCTTGCAAGAAGAAAAAAATGAGGGGGAGGGTTTGTGAAAAAAAACTCATCATGGTGAAAAAGGATAAAACGAGACATAAAAGCGAAAGAGTAAAATAAAAAGGAAGTATGGCAGTCCCCCAGCATTTTCCGTAGAGCGGTTGTGGCGTTACCAGTAAGCTGAGCAATGGTTTTGTAACTGTGATGTCAGTAGATGCTTCCCTGACCCGCTGACCCAGTGACCTACTTTTGCTTCTCTCACTCACCGTTTCTCTCTTCCACTGCGACTTAATCACAGCTCAACAGGCAGCCGTAGCTACAACCAATCACGCGACGGGCTGAGTTGCCACACACTCGCTATCAGCAAATCAGGAAATCAGGACTAGCGCACCACAAACAAACGGCAGCCAATAACACGCTGAGAAAGAAATAAAAAGATTTTTCAGCCAATGAAACGCAGAGTCTACAAACGCTCAGCTAACCATGACACAGAGTAGTGTCAAAGAAGGGAAGGAAAATACAAGAAATAGCAGAAGGAAACAGGCTAACAAAACCAAGCTTCTTCTCTTGCCGAGTGTGACACCATTTACCTATTCGGCCAAAGTCAGCCAAAAAAGATCTGCCTAAAGCACTAGGTTAAAACCAGATAACAAGCGCATGACAAACAAACAAATTCTTCCTCTGCTCTCTTGCCACACTCAAACAAATGAG